ATAAAATTAATGAAGTTTAATAGTAAAGCTTAAATCTTGTTAATAGAAAAAGTATTTAAAAGTTATGAAGAAGTAAGACAAGAAAAAAATTTTCAAGATTTTTTAACGATACAATGAGAATTTTGAGTCAAAGAAAATTAGAAAACTTTTGTATCTTTTTTTTTATTTATTTTTTTTTGTTGATTCTTTTTAAATTTAATGGTTGGGAGTTTTTTAAAACTCCCCATTTAATCATTTTTCCCTAACCCTTTCTCACTCTCACATTATTGCAGCCGCAAAAAAAATTTGTTGCGATCTCTTTCTCTTGAGTTCTCATCATCTGAATTTTTACTTTTTATTTTTTGAGTTCTCCAGATCGTTTCGCATCATCCATTTTCTCCCATTCACACGCCAAACGGACACCAATTAATCACCAATTAACATCTTCATTCTCTCCGTTAAATCTCTCACCGCTGCATACCCATACCACTATAATTAATTCCCATATCCAATCCTTAAAACCAATGTCCACCTTTGTCAGTTCACAGTGTCAGCCCTTCACTTCTCCACTTCATTCAAGAAATCATTCACACACGCCACTTCCCGAAAATCCCTCACCCACTCATTTTTTCATTTTCGATTGCTTCCCATGGCGTCATTTGGTTGGAGCTTGGAGGAAGAGCATCGTCCGTTGGCACTTGAGTTAACTTGAGAGACAACTTGAGACAAGCATGCATGAAACTAGACTTGAAGATTATAGAGGAGTGATTTTCCATTTATTTTTTCACTTCAAAATTTTAGGATTATTTAGTTTTAAATAATTTTAAGTTGTAATATTGGAAGTCAATTTAGTTTTGGATTGTAAATATTTTGATTCTTGAATTAGATTGATATTTGGATTGATTTTATGTTATATGAATTTCTGAAATTTATATTTATATGAGCTTGCTTTGCGAATTAAATTAATAATTGAGTTCTCACTATTGATTTAATTATCATTGTGGTGTTTGTTACAAATTTGGATTCCTTTTGCCTCTTAATTATTCAATTAAGTTGGTAATTTATTTAATTATTCAATTAGATAATTTAAACATATTTTTCAGATTTATTTTTTTAAAATTAATTGTCATTAGTTTTAATGGGTTTAATTTACCTAATTCATAAATGTAGGATTTGATTCACTATGAGTTCTCTAATGGATTATGTGTTAAACTTTGTACTTATGAGTTTTCTTTGCTTTAATTAGGTAATTGAATTTATTAATTCCACTATCTTATCATTTTCTTTGGGCTAGGAAAGTTAACTTCATGTGAAGTCCTAAGTTGTCTCCTTTACTACATTTAAATCAAACTTTCCTTAATTTTTGGTTAATTAATCCTTTTTGTCACTTAGTTAATTTGTCTAGTTTATATTTCATTTTTTTCTTGAAACAAAAGCCCCGATCATAATTTTGGACTTATGCATTGTATAACAGAATTTAGGTGTTCAACATAAGTATCAGCATCCATCTAGATAGTTAATTGCAATTTTTCATTTTCACTTTAGAGTATAAATCTTGCATTTAGCTTTAGATCTTTTTTGCATTAGCATTTAAATACCTAAAATCAACTTAAGATAACTTTTGAATTGTGAATGACATAGGGTTAGCCGATGCTATATTACATCAACCTTAGTTTAATTTAGTATTGACACGATTAAGGCAATCATCAATGGATATATATGAATCTGACTTTATGAGATAGGGAGAGGTGCCCCTTCAAATGGGATCTGTGGTGGGGTGTTGCAGTGTGAAAATTTTGGAATTGGCGAAATCAATTCATTTACCATGATAATTTTGACAAGCCGAGGAATCCTAGTATTGTTATCTCCTTGATTGGTAAAAGCGACATTAAGTTGTGAGATGGTAGAGTTGGGATCAATGGCAATGGTTCCAGTGTTGACAGGGTTAATTGTAAATGGGTGCCACCTCTTACAAATTAAGTCGAATGTAACATGGATGGAGCTGTTTGTGAAGGCTCTGAACGTCCGACATGTAATGGGGTTCTACATGATTCTGATGGGAGGTGGGTTGCTGGTTTTGCTCAATTTTTGGGGATCTGTCTTCTCCACAAATTAGAAGAATGTGTGGTGCTTAAGGGCCTTGAAATAGCCTGGGATTTATAGGCTAGCGTGCAGTAATTGTGGAGTCTGATTCAAAAATGACTATAGACCTTTTAAACTCCAACTTTAGAGACAGAACGCAGAGCTCAGTAATGCTAAGGATCAACGATCTCAGAGCAAGGAATTGGCAGCTTAGGTTCCAGTTTATCCATAGGGAAATAAATAGAATAGCTGATCATCTTGCCAAAAATAGTTTTAATTAGTAGGGAGGATGATTTTCTTTTTATCGATTCTACTCCAAGCCATTTAGTGGCTCTGATGGAAACTGATTGTATGGGATGTCATTCCCCGCAGGATTTTACGTTTATGCAATTAATGATCAGGGACCAGTGCCCTCCTTCATTACCAAAAAAGATAATAATGATAATAATGGATCTGTTTGTTCCTTTTAAAAAAATCCCAAATATTATTTGATTTCAAAACATGCACTGCACACATAAAATTTTGCTTTTTAACTAAGTACTCTAATCAATTAAAATTGACATGAGTAGTAAAAACTCTCATTATTTAAATAAGTGGTTAGGTGTTCGAATTCTAATCCTTATGTATGTCCCAGTTTAGTGAGGAAAGATATATCAATTATTATTAGTACCTTGAGAACAATATTATTTGCTGTTGAGAGAGCATGCTCCTTGTACTTTCAGGGGAAAAAAAAACTCTTTTTATTAGTTAGTATATATCATTTTTAACTAATTCATACATAATTAAAAAATGGTCTTAAAAATATAGTTAACCCTCATAATGTCATAATCCACCATAAATTATAGTATATCATTGATTCCGCACACTTACTAGCAGTATTTTTAGAAATAAATCATGAGAAAATCACTTTAAAGTCCCTCATAGGGATTCTAACTATAAAAAAAAAATCTTATGAAATGCATAAATTACTCTCAAATCTCAAATCTTTATTTTAAATATATTTTATATTTACTTACTAAAATAACTTTATTTTCTTTTATTAAAAAAATTTTGTGTGTTTTGCATGCGTGTGTGTAACTTGATGAGACAAGATCAATGAAATGGAATTTAGTATTCACTAATATATAAGATACATATTATTCATGCTAGGTCACTTATAAATTGAGTAAATAATCATTTAACAGTCACTAATATGTAAGGTATTTGTTATTCATGTGGGTGACTTGTTAACAAAGAATATACTTATTTAGTAGTAATTGATGTATAAGTAATGACTATTCACATTAAATGACCAATTCCAATTGAGTCACTCTTCAAATATAGATTTAAAGACCTCAAATTGATTTTGATTATTCATTAATAATTGAGATAATGAATCTTTTACACTTTCAAGTTTATCTTGAATATTCATTTGATATTTTAAATTTAATTTTTATCGATTTGATCCTTAAGTTTGACTTATTTATTGGTTCGGTCTTTATTATTTAAAAAGAATGTAACACTTAAAATATGTTGACATGAATAATAGAATATGATAATAATGTAAATTAATAAAAAAATGTAATTATTTATGTGGGAAAAATAAATTTCAGTTATTGAAGTGCAAGAGGAGGAATAGATCCATCCTTGTTCAAGTCAAATTTTAACAATTTAAATTTATTTATTCAATATTTAATATTGTAATGATTGAGAAAAGAAAGATGAGAGGAGGGTAGGAGGCATTAAGGAAGCCAACTCCTTCAAAACTATTCTATGAATATCAATGCAGAAAATATTTAGTTATATAGCATTCATCTTAGTCAAAATTTCCATTAATTAAAGATTTTTTTTCCTCAAATCAGTCAAGTTCAATTGCGTTTGATAATTTTATAAATATTTTTTATAAAAAAATTAATTTTAATTATTTATATGTAATTTTCATTAAGTATATATATATATATATATATAAAGAGAAGTAAAATAATATAAAAAAGTCGCCCTGATCATGAGTGGCGAATAATATAATTTACCATAGGAGATATGATTTTTTTCTATTTTGTAGAAAAATAAATATCTAACATTTAGTACTTGACAGTGTTTTGAATAGTATTGCCTTTAATATAAAAATACGCTAACCAAAAAAAAAAAATAGCATGAATTTTTTATAACTGAACAACCTTCTATTGACTATTTTTAATATCAATCATTTACAAGTAATTTCATTTTTATTTTTAACTATACCTTGAAATTCACAATAACTGGGTGAAGTTTTAGATCCTCAAACTTGCATACTTCAAATACTTTTTTGCAACAAAATTAGTGGGTAAGCTTTTAAATTAAAATAGTAAAGCACAATCTGCTCTATGACTCCATCACCGTTCTAGGCAGTGAAACGGAGACTATCTTCAAAAAATAAATGACAGCGCACTCCACTGCAAATCATACATACCAATAAGAAAGAAATGTTGGAATGAAATTTAACATATTATTAAAAATGTGTGGCCATTATTATAATTTAGTCTAATTAAAATAATCTATTTAGAAAAGTTTTAAGGCTTAGGTGGTGTACTTGTTATGAAATTAATGTGTAGGGATCGAAGTGATATTTATAATTTTTTGTGAAGTCAAATTGCAAATGTCAAAAACTTAAGTCAATAAATAGGGATCGTGATCATGAAGTTAGCTGAATGTTGGATATGTTGTCTTTCCCCTTTTTAGAGACATTTAGATATATCTCATGGTAACAACCAGAAAATACACCTGTAGATGAATTGAGGAGAATCAAAGCATAATGGAATTGGGTATAATTTCACAATCAAATTTTTTCTATTCCTCTAAATTGATATGAAACTTTATTTATGTTTATGAATTTATTTGCAGTTGGATCTATGATTTAAGTATAAATATAAACTCGATTGATTAGAAATGATTGATTCCAACACAGATATGTGACAAGAAGACATAAATCAAATTCATATAACTTGTAATCCCTGTATATGAACATAAATTATATTTCCTTCATATTAAGAAAGAGATGTAACATGTCAAAAACAGAAATCAAAGCGTAAAATACATGCAAAATGCAACCAATCCGATAGCAAATATACTTAAATAACTACCATGTTCCTTTGGACATATATGTGTCATCACAGGAAATCAACGACCACCAGAAAGCTGTGATTCAGGTATTGAACTATGAGAGAAATAATCGTCCATAATAGGAGATGAAAAGGACACTCCGTCAATGTTGTCAAACATTTTATGACTGGACAAATTAGGCAAAGTTACATCTCCATTTAAATACTGCACAACTTGACGCATGCTTGGCCTATTTGACGGCTGAGAATTTGAACACAAGAGTCCAAGCTTCAACACTAATTCAACCTCTTCTGCAATGTAATCTCTTCTTAAATTTTCGTCTTTTGCCTCAATGATCTCTCCCCTTTGCCAGTATCCATAAACCCAATCCACCAAAACCACACTCTCACCTTCACTTCCTTGCTCTATAGGTCTGCTTCCACATACAACCTCTAATAAAAATGCACCAAAAGAAAAAACATCTGATTTTGTCGTGGCTCTCCCTGTTCTTGTGGTCTCTGGTGCGAGATACCCAAGAGTCCCGACCACATGTGTAGTTGTAGGATCATTACCATGATCGTATAATCTTGCAAGACCAAAATCTCCTAACCTTCCGTTAAAATCAGAATCTAATAGAACATTGCTTGCTTTTATGTCTCTGTGAACCACTAATTGATCCCATTCTTCATGTAGATAACACAATCCTGAAGCTACACCTTTGATGATCCTGAATCTTTGCAACCAACTTAATGTCACTGCCATGGGTTGGTTATAAAGATATTTATCTAAGCTTCCATTAGGCATGAAATCGTAGACTAGAAGAAGCTCACCTTTTCGCCTACAATACCCTAGAAGGGATACGAGATTTCGGTGGCGAAGACGACCAATGCTCACGATTTCTGCTATAAATTCTCTCATGCCTTGTCGGGATTCATGGGACACTTTCTTCACAGCAACCTCAATTTTCGAACTCGGCATTGTCCCTTTGTACACTTTTCCAAATCCACCACTTCCCAGAAGCTCCTTCTCTCTGAATCCTTTTGTGGCAAGGTAGATATCTTTGTATTTGAACCTTTGAGAAACATAATCCTTCTCCCACTCTTCAACGATCTCAGAAAACTTCCTTTTCCTGTATATGTAATAAACTATATATAAACTCACAAGAATAATTAAACATAGTGAAAACAAAGGTAACCCAATTGGCAAAATCATGGATTGTTTTTTCCCTCCAAGTCCTGGTAGCTTTGGGAGATCAGAGATTACGAGATTCTGAGCTTCCCCATTAACTTGGAAACTCCATCCAAGAACATAGTGAGAAGCTAAGAGTTGTGAACCAGTGGAAGATGAGAATCCGACATAACTGGGATTAGTTAGAATATGAGAAAGATCTCGAGACAAAGCTAATAATGGAGTTTGGGGCTTTGTAATATTGATTGGACCTAGGACAACACTAATGTGCTTCTTGACTCCATCATAGTCCACCCACACTTGCATCGGAAGGCCACTTATCAGGGTCAAATTGTGAAACTGAGATTCGTTACCATAATATCCAGCAGGAGCAGATCTTGTCGAATTCAAGCCATTAATATCAATTCCAACATGATTATCATTGATATCATCGAACTCGATGTTTTGTACTGGGTCGAGTTCTATTGCAAGCATGTGGTTTGTGGAGTCACCGTTGTTGGTTTCATTGAAGAGGCCAAGGTACTGAGAGGGAATAGCATTTGGCAATGCTTTTGTTGGAGAAATTACAAAAGCTAATCCATGACCACTGAGAGTTGGATATTGAGGTCTAATGGCGAAGACGAAAGTGGTGGAGAAAGAAGAAGTGTTTGAGAAAACAACTGGATTAGGATAAAAAGCATGGCCCTTTTGCAGCCTAGTTTCATTGGTGAGCTGGAGGAGGCCATTGGAAGTGATGGAAGACCGACCATCCATGGTTAAGTTAGCAGAGTGGAAACCAGTATTAAAGATGAAACTGGTTTCTTCACCACTCCTCAGACTCACCAGCACCAACAAAAACACCAACGTTGGAAGTCTCAAAAACATGGCGGCCACAATATCTGTCTCTTTACTGCACACATAAAAAGTAGAGTTTCTGTAGGCTTTAATTTTGTGGGTGGACATTGAAGGACTGGAAGAACATAATAAGATGGTTTAAGTAGGTCGGTCATTCATTGATAACATTGATAATGGTGGCCACTCATGCACGGGGGTTTGGCAGACATGAAAGTGAGATACGTAAAAGGCGTGAATGGTGGCCGTGAATGTTAGCTACTGATTATTAATGATATCTGTGAGCGCCACTGGCTCTACGCACAAGTAACTTGAATCTAAGCGCTACGCAGAACGCATCTCACCCTCAGCTTCAAGGCATGCAATCACACACACACACTTCATCTCATTTTATACGATATTTTTGGAGATAATTTGGTTACCCAAACTATAAGATATTTTGAAAAAAAAAAAGTTTCATTAATAATGATTATTTTAATATTATCCTTTATTATTTAACTCTTTCCATAAATTTACTTCCCTCTCTATTACTAATGAAAAGTAATTTTGGAAATTTATAAAAAATTAAGATTATAAACTACTAATGAATTTTGTTAAAAAAAATATCTTATAAATTGGGATGGAAGAAGTATAGCAAAAACAATATTAAAACTATGTTTTCTTATAAATGTTCACCTGACCTCTGTGTTCTTATTGCAGACGGTTGTGAAGTTGATGCTCTGTTTTTTTTTTTTTTTTTGGATATGCTTTATTAAGACTATGTGATGTTTTAAACAGTTATATGCAATTAAATTTGTGATTGGGGACTGTGTTAAACTTGTGCCCTCTTATTATAATCCGTCCTGTCTTATTTATAAAACAATTTCTCATTAGTCTTTACCTTTTGTAGTGAAACTAAAAGTCTCTTATTATTTTTTAATATAAGACTTTTTATAAAATTCATTCTAATATTTATAACTCATTTATAAGAATGCAACTTTAACCATTTCATTAGGGTGAGAAAAGAGTAATTATTTTTTAATTTGTTTTGTGTCTTAATTATTGTTTTAGTGCAACTTTAATCATTTATAAGATGTATTTAATTAGTTATTTAGGATTATTCTTTTTTCACTAAATTTGACAGTTTTGTCAAATACTTATCTATGTGAGTTCATTACATGACCAGAATTTATGGAGCCCCAATATCCAAAAAAAACCATAATATTTCCTTAATTATACTTTTCCACAAGGCATCTAATTTACCAATACCATAACAAACATACGTAATGCTAGTGCCCAACAAACACTAATGCATGTCCTTACTAAATAAACTACTTTATACTTTGGACACGTCTGACTCCTTACCAAATCAACGACCACCAGAGAGAACCGATTCAGGCATTGAACTACGAGAAAAACAGCCTCCCGTGCTAGAAGATGGAAAGGACATTCCGATGTCATCAAAATCTTTATGAATCCCAAATTTGAACTCAAAACAAGAAGGAGTTGAGATTATCAAAGACAAATCAGGCAAAGGCACATCCCTGTTCAAATACTGCATAACTTGACGCATGCTTGGCCTACTTAAAGGCTGAGAATTTGAACACAAAAGTCCAAGCTTCAACACCAATTCAACCTCCTCTGCTCTGTAATCTCTTCCTAAATTTTGATCTATTGCCTCAATGATCTCACCCCTCTTCCACAGCCCATGAACCCAATCCACCAAAATCACGCTCTCACCATCACTTCCTTGCTCAATAGGCCTTCTTCCACAAGCAACCTCGAGCAAAAACGCACCAAAAGCAAAAACATCAGTCTTTGTCGTCGCTTTCCCTGTTCTTGTGTTCTCCGGTGCAAGATACCCAAAAGTCCCGACCACATGTGTAGTTGCAGGATCACTCCCATGATCATATAACCTTGCTAGACCAAAATCTCCTAGCCTTCCATTGTGCTCTGAATCTAGCAAAACATTGCTTGCTTTTATGTCCCTGTGAACCACGACCTGCTCCCATTCTTCATGTAGATAACACAAACCTGAAGCTATGCCTTTGATGATTGTGAATCTTTGCATCCAATTTAGTGTCTCCTTGGGTTGGTTAAAGAGATATTTATCTAAACTTCCATTGGGCATGAAGTCATAGACTAAAAGGAGCTCACCTTTTCGCCTGCAATATCCCAAAAGAGATACGAGGTTTCGATGACGAACGCGACCGATACTCACAATTTCTGCTATGAATTCCTTCATTCCCTGTCGGGATTCGTGGGATACTTTCTTCACAGCAACCTCCATTGTCGAACCAGGCATTGTACCTTTATACACCTTTCCAAATCCACCACTTCCCAAAAGCTCTGTCTCCCCAAATTCTTTTGTGGCCAAGTAGAGATCTTTGTATTTAAACCTATGACCACCATAGTCTTCCTCCCACTTCTCCACAATCTCAGAAAACTTCCTTCTCTTGTTTATGTAATAAACTATAGATAAACTCGCCAAAATAATTAAACAGAGAAAAAACAAAGGTAACCCAATTAACAAAATCATAGATTGTTTTTTTCCTCCAAGTCGTGGTAGCTTTGGGAGTTCAGAGGTTACAAGGTTTTGAGCTTCCCCATTGACCTTGAAACTCCAACCAAGAACATAGTGAGAAGCTACGAGTGACCCTGTCGAAGATGAGAATCCGACATAACTAGGATTTTTTAGAATGTGAGAAAGATCTTGGGACAACATTAACAATGGTGTTTGGGGTTTGTTCAAGTTGATCGGAGCTAGTGTGACATTGATTTGCTTGTTGGCTCCATCATAATCCACCCACACCTGCATCGGAAGGCCACTGATGAGGCTCAAATTATGAAACTCCAACCCATTAACATAATATCCTACAGGAGCAGATTTTGTTGAGTTCAAGCCGTTAATATCAATTCCAACATGGTTATCATTGATATCCCCAAGCTCGTTGTTCTGAACAGGGTCAAACTCCACTGCGAGCACATGATTTTTGGGGTTGCCATTGTTGGTTCCATTGAAGAGGCCGAGGTATTGACTGCCCAGAGCACCTGGAAATGCTTTTGCTGGAGAAACTACAAGAGCTAATCCATGACCACTCAGAGTTGGATATTGAGGTCTAATGGCGAAAACGAAAGTGGTGGAGAAAGATGAAGTGTTTGAGAAACCTATTGGATTTGGGTAAAAAGCATGACACTTTTGCAGCCTGGTTTCATTGGTGAGTTGGAGGAGGCCATTGGAAGTGATGGAACAAAGACCGTCCATAGTTAAATTAGCAGACAGGAAGCCATTGTTAAAGGTGAAACTTGTATCTTCACCTCTCACTGGTACTATTGCTGTAACCAACAAAAACGCCAACGCCATAATCTTCACAAACATGAGTGGCCTCAAAGCAATATAATGTAATCTTTCGTTTTGTGTTCTCTGGTTTTTGTCGGCGGCCGTACGTTGAAGGGCAAGAAGCCAGGAACAATAATAGGTTGGTTGTTTAATGTGAGGAAAAATATCATCTAAGAACCCATGTAACATTTTAATATCGAACGATGATCCTAAATATATGGAATATCACTGCGCCCACTGACACATCTAAAAAGAAGATTTAGGGGGACCTAATTATGCTTATAGCGTTTTACAAGTCTCACTCTATTATAAACAGTCGTAAAGTATTTGATTATTCACAAGTTATCATATGTAATTAGCAGGTGAACATTTGTTCATGAACAGGTTAAAAAAACTTATAGACTTGGTTTATTGTAACTAAGGGTTTCAAGGGGTGCAGTGATATTATAAATTTTTAGGATACTTTTTTATATTAAAATTCTACAGGAGTTCTTAGATGATATTTTCACTTAATTTAATTATATAGTTAGCTACATTTTTGGCCTGAAAGTGAATGTTAGCTACTTGATTAACTACTAGTGATGTTAAAGTGAGTAATAGACACTAATGGTTCTTGAGTTAGGTTGCGATAATAATCATATTATTGTTTTAAAATTACATTCAATTTCATCAATAAAGTTACTACTCTATGTAGGGATGAAAATAGGTTAGGTCGAGTTAAGTTTTAGCTAAATACATTTGAATTTATGTGATAAATTAAAGATTTGAGTTTGATTTGAAGCTCGTATAAAGCTTTTCTCACGACTCAAGCTTGAGCTTACATAAAGTATATCTTAACCTAAAAGCCTACTTAAAAAAAAAAAACCTTTTAAATATATTTACTTAAGTAGGGGTCAGTGTTATGATAGATTTGGATATAATGAATGATTTAAGTTTACTCATTCAATGAGTGTCACGTGACACAACAACAACAATTCAATTTGACCAAATGACTATTAAAAATTTTGTCATATAATATTCAAAAAATATCAAATTTCAAATTTTAGGAGAGGACAAGAGGTAGAACCATAATGGGAAAGTTGGGTGGCCAAATTTAAATAAAAGTCATTTCAGATTTATTCTTTAATTTTTTTAATATCTAGAATAAAAACTTAATTGAATTTTTTTTACAATATAAAAGAAGTCATAAGATAAGAATCAATTAAAATTATATCATATTTAAAAGATTAAAAAATCAAAAATTAAGTCATAGATTTAATTTATACATATGATAGAAACTCTAAAAAACTACATGTTTGATGTACTGAAATCAATATTAATCAATAATATATACAAATTAAAGAATAAAAATGAATTCATTAAAGTAATTACTCAATTTTCATAATAATAATTTATTTAAGAAAAATGTGAACAATCTAGTGAAAAATAACATATATAGCATATAAATATTAAATTTCACTCTTTTTTATTGATAAAAAATAATATTCATCATGCATCAATAATAAAAGTATTTTTATATGTTGAAGTTTCACACACACATCCGATCTACATAATATATCGCACAACAACCCAGACACACATTTTTCCCTTCAATCATAATGGGAAAGATCTTGCTACAAGAGGGGAGGATCATAAGAATGTCAAGGAACATAATATACATTTTATGTCTATTTATTTGATTTTCAAATAAGAAATTAGAATTATAGATGGGTGTGCTGTTTTGTATAAATGCATTTGTGTGTGAGAGGGAAAGGGAATAGTGTTTTTTTAAAAAACAAAAAAAAAATGAAGGGATATATGGAGCCACTCAACCCCATACTGTCATACTCATACACAAACGCGAGCCACACACACTAAACGTTACACCAATGAAATGGCCATGGGGATAGCCCTTCCTCAACGTGCAAGTAGGCCTGCTCTTGTATGAAAAGTGTTTTGACCATGTAGATTATTTTAAATTTATAAAAACAATATATCTCAATAATTTTTAAATATTAATAAAATTTAATAATTATAATTGAGCTGTACACCCCAAACATATGTTTATGCATCATTGAAAGAATATGCCTCCACGTGATAGAGGCTGGTAATAATATCAAAACCAAATAGGCTGGTAATAATATATGATCATGACAAGAATCATATTGGCTATTGACTCGTCATGCATGGCGTGGCTGCTGGGCATTGGCATTTACAAGGGAAAATCACAATCAAGTACCCCTAAAAATAATTAATTACGTTACAAAATTAAATGATTCTGATATTACTCTATAAGATTAGAGAATCTAAATGTAATTAAAATTTATTATTAAAAGGTAAAATTACCTTTGATGTATTTTTATTGTAAAGGGCGAATTTAATTGTTGTTATAATGAGAATGAGATTTATTTTTTCTCTAATGAAGACTTATTCACTAGATTACAACAATAATTCTTTTATTAAATTAATATTTTGTAGTTGTTAATAATAGAATTAATTATTATTAGAATAAAAATGAAACTTTTTTCTTGAATGGATATTTGTTAAGTGAATCACAATACTTGTTTCTTGTAACACCATAGCTTTATTGACTAAAAAACTTAACTAAATACCATGGTCATAAAAAGATTAAACTAATTAAAATAATTACTATGGTAAAAAAATGTTAAAAGAAATTCTCAAATTTATTTTTAAAAGATAATCATGGTAGAAAAGAGTTGATTTAAATCTCAAAGAGCTATCATGTTCATGGAAAGATTCATCTAATAAATAGATACTTAAAAACTAACCTTGATAGAAAAGAATTAAACTAGTTAAAAATGGCTACCAAGGTTGTAAAAGTTTAAATTTAATATTTTTTTTATAAAGTATATGTGGTCTGTATTAAAGTCTCCAGACACACGTGTCACATTCCATAACAAATACTTAAATATTTGTTTTTTAGTAAAAGTCTCAATCCAAAAGTTTTATAATAAAATATTTAATCAACATAAATCAATCATCAATAAATAATAATAATTTAACAATTAATCCCGAATGAAAAACAAGTCCTAAACTAGTAGTTGATTATTCTACAAACTAAAATGAAACTTGGGGCTTAATTACTTTAGCTTCCAGTTGCTTCCCTTCGCTCTATATGCTTGCCTAAAAATGTTAAAGAAAGGGTTGAACACTAACTAATATCTCAGTAACCCAAAGTTTTACGATACATGTACAAACTAACAACTACACATAAATAATATTATATGCAAACATATAATTTCATCATCATTAAATTATGAACATAAAAATTTATGAGCCATCATTCATTATAGTTATATGTAACATATGATCATATGCAAGATACATAACCCCCTTGTTGCTCTATCCAACCTTATACTACTAACCGAAACCATAGGCTTATTCACAATTTGGCCCACGTATTGGACTGACTAAAGCATCTTTAAAGTTTAGGATATACCTTATCAAAAGTATAGAGCCCAAGCCAAACTATGACTCTTCTCATCAAAGAATACACTTAAGAGGTGTCATTGTCCCACATTTTCTGTAACACACCAAAATTTTTTTTTTAAATAATTTAACTCAACCATAGTTGGGTTACAACCACCCAACACATTTTTATATCAATAATTTTGATATAAAATATTTTATAATTGGCTTCAACTCACACACTATAACATTTCAGATAAATTTTTACCTCCCACATGCCATTAGGCTAAATCACATTTGTCCATCCTTATACTCCCAATAAGTAAACTAAATCATATTTATCCATCCTTATACTCCCAACAAGTAAAATAAGCAATTTAGTCAATTTTCAACACAAGCCAGTTATTTGGCCTTATAATCATGCCATTTAAACCAATCCAAAGTAAACCAAATATTAAAATTACAGTCATCTAAATTGTACCAAAAATAGAAATAGTTTGAAAAGCATGATTACATTTATATATTCATATAATTGACAATAAACAAAAAGCCCTAATATTGGCAATATAACACATTATAAATCATAAATTAAATACCCAAAAGAGACAGTGGATCTATACCACTAAGCCTCTGGGACTCCTCCACGTGTCACTCGTGGCTCTTCTCCTGAAAATTGTTAACCACATAATGAGACTCAAAAGTCCCAGTAACCAAAGCCAATTTATGATAGTGTATACAAACAGTTAAGTGTGTGCTTACTAAGTGAGAATTAAAAATAATATAATTCCAACAAATATAAGAAATATTATAATAAACACAAACAACCATCCTTATATCCCTCCATTAACCTCGAGCCGTAGCCCTCACTCGGTGCTAAATTACCCGGCCAAAGGTAGATTAGCCCGAGCCCTTACAAGCCACCTATTGAGCTCCAATAGGGGCGTACCACGTGGCACATAAATACAACAACAATAGCAAGTCTCCCAACACCTCCCACAATAATCAAACAAATTCATAATAATATTGCATAATTATACAATATTACAAAAATTCATAATTTTCTCAATAATCACCCAATTAACATGAAGTAACACTAATCACAAATTAAAAGCATGGTTATCTTGTGGCTTTTTCAATAAATTATTCCTTAAAATTTCTCTCTCACTACAATCTTCACCAGTAATACAATCTACAAATAACATATTATTTATAAATATTAGTTTCAATTTTTGAAACTAATAAAATAATTCTAATAATAGAATTAAAAATATAACATAATTTCTAATCTCAATCTTAATACAAATCTATAGTTAATACTATTAAGTAAAATTTTTAACTCCTTTTTTGATTATCAATAAACATTAATAATCTAAAAATCAACTTCTAAACTAATTTCTATTATCAAAATTTTCTTTTTATTTCATAAATTCGTACCTAAAATACCCAAAAATTAAAAATTGAGTCTCTAGCTTAGAATCATAATCCTATAACCATAATAATTCATTTCTCGTCCCAAATAATCATCTAAACCTCAATAAATCAACATATATTTTCAGATCTAGTTTAGAATTTGATCCATAAGCCACAGATTCAAAGATCATCAATAAATTTATACTTTAGAACATTTATTATACTACTGACAACCTCAAAAATCATATTTATTCAACATAAATTCATCCC